TATTCTCCAAACTTGACCCCATCGGATTATCATCTCTTCCAATCGATGCAACATGCACTCGCTGATTTTTTCAATTACGAACAAGTAGGAAAATGAGTGGATACATGACTTGCTTCAAAAGTCAGCTCGTTTTGTAGTCGCGAAATCCAACTTTTGTCAGAAAGATGGGAAAAAGTAACAGAAAAGAAAAAATATACTTTGACTAAGGTATTAATTCATGTAGTTCTTATTGAAATAAATGCGTTTTCTAAAAAAAAACCGACAAAAACTAAGTGTATTTCCTAATATTTTACATTACAAACTTGCTTTATTTCTTTACTTACATAAAGTAGGACACGTTCTCCGTCATACACGGCGTAGATTTGATTATATAGCGAATAAACTACGATCATTCCGTCCAGTTGATAGATTTCAACGACTACTTTATCATGATTTGAAGTGTTAGCTGGCTGACCGTTAACCGTAGCTTCGAGGCGATCATTCGATTTCTGCAGATAAATTTCTTGATCTTCATTCAAGATTATCCGGATCTGTTTAGTACTATCATCCATTTCTCGAGCCATGACAATCACACTCATATCTTCCCGAATACTTAAAGTTTCTTCGGGGTTAAGAGGATTCCGCTTTGGATAAGTAGTCATCATCACATGCCAACATTTTCCCAATTTCAAGGGATAGACCTTTTCGTCAAAAGTAACAACTTTTGTTTTATCGAGAGCGCACACAGCTGCAAGAAAAAATGTTCATAGTTAGTCTAATGTTACAATCAATTTTAATATTATAAATATATTTCATATGCATGTATAAAAAAAATATATATATATATATATATATATGTATGTATGCATATGTATATTTATAGATACAAATAATTTAAATAATATTTTACAAGACATTTTATCCATTATTATTATCAACAACAATTAAAAAAATGTTCAAAGATCGAATTTGATTGTGATTATAAAGTAATGCAAAATCATCAGTTACTGTGCATTACAATTCAAACATTATCTTATTTTTATAACGATCAATATGCCATTAATACATTAAATTCTTTTTTTACTTTGATATTTATCAAATACTATATTTTATGAAATTCTGTAACTTACATCCTTGTAATTTTTTCTTAAGACACTTCTTCAGTGAAATATCTTCGGGAGACTCAAAAATATTTGACAGAGAAAACGCCAAATCCGTTTGCGAAGTGCGCAAAGAGATTTTTGCATCATCATCTTCGATCGACAATTTTATCTCCATATCGATAGTGTTCTTATCAAGACGCCTCGAGTTTGACTTCGTCTCATTGTTGTACATCATAGGATCGGCTATCTTCAAGATCATTGCATTGGCAAACGCAAAGAAACGATCTGAATTCGTGTTTATTGATATTTTCAGAAGATCCTTCAGTTCGACTAATTCGCTGGCTTTTCGACAAGTCGGTAGCCAAATGTTGCCTTGTTTTATCTCTTGCCGACACTTCTCGACTATATCGGATTTCATTGCCATTTTCACGACATCGTCAGTGCGAGTCCAATTTCCCTTGAGTCTAATCGTCTCTCCGTTCGCACAATTTCCAAATCGCATCTCAGCTTTATATTCATAATTCGGAATTTTCTCAATCGCTTTCTCAAAGTTCAGAGGAAAGCTTTGTGTTGATTGTTTGTATCCAACAGCACAAAACTCGGAGAAGACATTTCCATTTGGCGATTGAACATTCCAATAGAAAAGGGCCTGCAGCTTATCCTTTACAAAGCTTTCTTGCACAGCGAGGGTAAAAACGTGGTAGTTATTATCAGCTAAAACACTTATATCAAAAATATGACCAAAAGAATTTGGATAATTAATATCTTTGCTGATTTCCTGTTGGAATTGTTCTTTCCTCGCCTCGCTCTGCGGGCGTTTGTCAATTGATGCAGGAATTGTTGCTTCCGAACTATTTCTTACATTATTGAGTATCCCTTGATTGTAAGTCATGTTTATTTCTGCTTCCTTAAGAGATAAGATTATGTCGAAACTTCTGTAACGAGCGCCAAGATTTTTATAAAACAGTTGACAAAACTCGGTAGCGGCTTCAATTCCTGTTTTCTTCGCCGCTTCACTGTCAATAAGATCAGCCTTTGCCGTAAACGTCACACCACCTAACGAAAATTCCATTCCATGCGGTTCCTTCGTGTGCACTAGTCGTGTGTCATTGCTAAGAATTACAGGTTGGAAATCTAGAATGTCATGTTTTGCGGTATAAGGAACGACGCTGTGATGAATCGCTGCATGCCCGACGCCGTATTGATAATATTCACGCGGTTGTATCTTTAGCTCTAATTTCTTCGTCGCTCCATATTTAATACTTAAACCAGCTGGTATAAAGAGCTGCGTATTGACATCGATGCCAGCAATGTAGTGCCTGTTTTCGAAAGGCGTCACAAAGCCAATTCTGCTTTGAGACTTTTCATTTAATATCATATGACCCGCCGCCTTTAATTCCATAAAGTGTTCAGTTTGTGAGATTGTGACCTGGTGAGATCCTTCTCTGCTAATTCTCATTAATTGCGGTATCGTTAAGGTGTAGACGAACGGTAGACCAGTTTCAGTCGGGAATCCCAACGTCATGTCGTAGTGGTATAGGCGATTTATATTTTTTGATTCAAAAACTTGTAATGGTGACATCTGCATTGACGCAACATAATTCATAAACACTGTAATACAACAATAATAACAATTTACATTACCGAAATCAACAATAAGAATTTAAGAAATAAATTTCAGAATACTTACTATTGATGATTTCTTCAAACGTTTGATTGTCGTACGGATGGAAATCTGAACCTAATGGACTGTCAAAGAAGATATTTCCTTCAAAAGGTTCTGCATCTTCGGGCTTAATACCAAGCTTTTCAATAGTTTCTACAATAATCAATTTCTTGTTATCCAAAGTGGGCAAACTCATCCAGGGCATCTGATACCATATATTTATTAAGCTTTTGATGCTCGATGTTGCGTATGATAGTCTCGACAGAGGTAGATTGAAACCACCGTAAGATTGATATATATCAATAGATGCATCTCTAGATATAACAGAATCGTCGCTACTAATCGTCTGAAGGATGGCAGTTTGCTCAGTGTTTAAGGAGGAGATTTTCATCTTCTTAAAGATGCTTTGAGAGTAATTTTCAACGTCAATGTCAGACTTCAATGACTTGCTAGCGATACGCGCCTTGTCAGCGAGCTCTTTCCACTCCGGTTGCTCCAAATCAGCGAGGGCATTTATGCTAGTCTTAACGGCAGAATTTACATGTGGATTCTCATCTTGATTAGTGAATTCCGCCATTCGCTGCAACATGGACATGGGCGGATTGGTCTTCATTATGATGTAAACAGCTGCGCAACGTATTTCGTAGGCCTCCATTACATTTATGTAGATCTTGTAAGCGACGGATCTGGCTACTCTCGGGAAGTTTTCGCTTAGTTTGTTTAGCGACTTGACCATCATCAAACGTTGAAATTTTGATACCGGCAACGTGCCCTCCAAATGCGGCTCAAAAATGGAGAGTATTTTTGGATGACCGAAATTACCCAATGTCATAATGTACGTTTGAATTTGACGACTGTCGCCTTTCTTGATAGCTTCTCTCAATCGTACACCCATATATGGGATATACTTTTCAAGAATCGCATTGTCATGTTTGAAGGCCGTACGACCAAAACTGTAGATTGGATAATAAATATACGATTTGTTACTTAGGGTGTAACGGGCCAATTCGGCAAATGCTAAAGGTGCGGTTGTGTTCAAAAATTTCTGTTGCGTTACTTGTTCATCAGTAATCAGTTCCTATACAGAGATAAAACGTTAAAATTAGTTTACGTATAATTTGTATTTACTGGTAAAAGTATTTGAACGATGGGAGATTTAAGAGATAAAAGATTAAAGAGATTCTCTAATTTTTTAATTTCTTACACGCTGTTTCAATATTCATGAATTGTTCAAAAAGGAGTTCAAACGTTTTAAGTGATTTGGGAAACACACGGGGAACGTTAAGTTCTTTTTTCTTACTCAATTTCACTTGCTGAATCAAAAAATCGTAGTTAAAATTGTCCTCATATCCGGGAAATATTTTTTTCTATTTTAAACAGAAAAAAAACAACGACTGATTTTATCATTTTATCAAACCATGTCTGTGAATTTCTTTTTGTTTTTATAAAAATATGTTTTTATGCTATTTAATTTCTCATTTTTTTCTCATCAGGACTTGAAAATCTACAAGTTACCTTAAGTTATTGTAAGGAAGTTTTGATGACAATTCTAATATTTCTTTCTAAGTTCTTTCGATTTCTTTTTATTTTATGTTACGCGCCCAAATAGCGCTGGGAATTGCTTTGTCTCCCCTCTTCGTCCTTTGTCGTTGTCCCACGACGTGGCAAGATGCGAGTAGTGAGTCTTTGTTAAATTTGGCTAGCGTGCGGACTATTAATCACGCATGTGATCCTTGTACATTTTTTCAATATATATATATTCTTTAATTTCATGTAGAATCGGTTGTAAATTTATTCCATAAACCATCCCCCGATTTCTACATTATGTATACATTTTAACTTTTGCATCGAAATATCTCGAAAAGTATAAATAATGCGGAAAAATGTTTTTGATAAAAATAATACAGTCTAAAAAAGGAAAAATAATTTTCGAAAGAAATCAATTTTTAAGATCATTCAAGGGTACCGTCATTTTTTTATGTAGGATTATATAATTATTTAAATAATATTTGAAAACCGCTCGGAATTAATTAATAAAGGACGGAAGAGGTGGCCAAAAATTCGAGCAAGAAAAAGGAGGTTTTAAAAATAAGAAAATCTTTTAATTACAGTTTCGTAAGCGCAGCGATACGTTAACTATACTATATGTATTACTTTTATCTAAAACATTTTTCTGCATCTTTTATACATTTTAAAATATTTCGATGTAAAAGTTAAAATGTATACATAACTTAAGGTAACTTGCAGATTCTCAAGCCCTGATAAGAAAGGATGAGGACTTAAGTAACATCGAAACATATTTTTATAAAAACAAAGAGAAGTTCACAGACATAGTTCAACAAAGTGATAAAATCAATAATTGCTTTTTTCTGTTTAAAATGTGAAAAAAGGTGAACCCAACATTCTCCGCGTGCTTCCCAAATCGCCTAATATGCATGAACTCCTTTCTTAAGTGACATAACGTAACCTTTCATATGATTTTAGGTTCAAAGAATTTTATTCTTTATAAGATTATAATTTATAACATAAATATATTTTAAGTTGGTCTATTAAATATAGTTTATATTAAATATAGTTTATATTTAACAGCTTGACATTTCTAGAAAAATGGAAAGAACTGAAATTCAAACAGTGATTTTTCTTTTTGATAAAACGGTTTCCGAAATATTATAAAATTCGAGTTGGATGTTTTTTGGAGAATAACTGTTTTATTTTTCAAGAAAAAAAATTTGCTCAAATTTCAGTTTTTTCTACTTTTCTAGAAATGCCAAACACAGCAACTTTGAAGTGCTATCAGATACTAAAGCAATTTGACAGATTAACTTGAAATTTTTACGTTATATATGATCAAAAGATGAAATTATCCATTAAACCCAAAATTATATAAAACACTTTCTATATATTACTTAAGAAACATTTCAGAGCACTATACTATATAGTATATAATAGCATATCGTATACTATTCGTATAGTATACATATAATGACACTATACATTCGTATACTATGTACTGAACACTTACGAAAAATGCTGTAAGATATTCTGCCGTAGGTGCGAGCGCAGTTTTAGGAATTTTCGAAATAATCTGTGCCGCTTGTATGCCCTCGAGTTTCCCGTTCTTTATCCAATTTTTAATGGTGATAAGAGCTGGACCAGTTCCGGCATCCGCGATGGCGTGACGAAAAACATCCCATAGAGTTTGGTTGTATAATTTCTGATCCTCTTCACGAGTAACTTTATCCTTCCGATTGTCGTGGTATACCAATTCCAGTAGATTATACTCTACCTCACCAATCTGTTTGGTATTCATAGTGCGAATCAATCTAACCAGAATTGTGAATCGCTCTAAAGTCTCGGTGAATGGATGTTTTAAAAGATCAACAGCAAGATATTCAATTTCCTCGGTTATTTGACTGATCAGGCGGGCCGCTACCACATCATAATTCTCTTCGGACGTTTGGATGCTCCTGCCATTGTATCCAATGAAATAGGGCAACAGTGGACTCTCCGGAGCCTCGTCCAATTTTGGTTTAGGTTGCAAGTAATCGTGCTCCTCGCTGTTAGAGCTCGAGCTACTTGAAGAGCTGCTACTCCGTTTGAGTTGGCTAGAGAACGGATTGTTGTAAGTATACACTAAGTTTCCGGTTGACACGACATTGCTGGCTCGCATAGGATTGGCGATCAGGCTTGTTTTGACTAAAGTTAGATTCATACTACTGTAGACAGCGCCAGAGTACGTATCGTGAATTTTAGAATTCATAACTATTTCGTCCGTCATCACGGACGATTTAATAGTGAAACGTTTCAGGTTGCCCGAGATGATAATATTAGACGTAGATGATCTCTGTAACAAATATACAATTGCATAATAAATTTTACTCTCCTTCACTGTTGCGTACATTTTTATTTGAATTAGCATACATACAGGAATATAGGTAAATTTGAAGCGAGAGAGTTTCGCTAAATCTCTTATTCTTCGTACAGTCCTCAATCATATAAAATTTTATCAACGAATGTAGTGACAGTTCTTATCTGTCAAAATCTAACTTACCGTAAAAAGTTCGTCGTTAGATTCTGGTTTCATTTTGCCAATTATACCAGAATGGTAAGCCATTCGCTGCTCGCATCTGTTGTAATTCTTCGTTTTCGTAATACCGAATTGTCGACCATCCTTATCGAGAGATGGCAAGGATACTGGTATATGATCTTTATATTGCACTGGTGCAATATTGTAAATGACTTCGCATTTGCCTCCGACGGAGTCCTCCATGACTTTAAATGTACCAAAGGGTTGATTGTCGTCAGGCATCTTATTGCCCTTTCGGTCTCCCACTATCACATTCTCGCCGTCTATGTCAATCTGTAATTGACTTACAATACTCTTTAGCAAATTCACTTCCCAAGTAGGCACATCCTTGTCAAACAACACATCCCGGATCACTCCATTCTTGAGCTTGATCTCGAAGGGTTTTCGCGACAATGAAAGCTCGCGAAACTCAATGTCGGCAATGTCATCCCAAATACTCAGCAATACTTTGTTCACGGTAGCATACCGTGTCTCAGAAACCACAGCTTCTAGCCTATCCTGCCATGATTCCTGAATGGTAAGACCACCTTTTATCAAAATCCCAGAATATTGTCCAGCTAGTTTGTTCAAGACCGTAAATGTCCGACTTTCTATAAGATAATGATATTCATTTCCAGTTCCCCAAGCACGAGGGTAAGCATTGGCTACGGCCGCTCCAACTACCAAAAGAAAGAATTATCATTTTTTACAAGCATGTTTTAATAAATGAAACTTGTAAATTTAGATTAAAAGATAAATGTACAGAATTTTATTATATTGCTGATTTTTATATGTGTGTAAATAGTATTTCTAAATTCTTATTTCTGTATATATATTTTTGTCTTAATGTAACTGCTATTGATTACATTAAATTCTATAATATATAAATTATTATATTATTAATTTTACTAATAAGAAATTTGTGAAATTATTAAAGGGAGAAATGAACTTCCATAATTTTGCATAAATCATAACAGTAAAAAAGGAAACTGTAAAAGTTTTAAATCCTCAAAAATTATTTTATTTTACACGTGAAAAAAACATTTTTTTAAAAACACATTAAACAATGGGAAATAATATTACAATTTTCGTAGAAATTAATGTTGCTTATAATATTGATGTCTACTTACTGACTAGGACAAAAGTCAGATGGAACCACATGATACGATGCGAATAGTGTCGAATGCAAAATGAGAGCTCCTTCTTCTTAATCAGATTTATATATGCGCTCCGTATATCATGTCAGCTTCATCCGCGCGACGTGATGCCCATTGATTTGAATTCCAACTTGAACTTAAAACTGTAATGTTCCGTGACACGTGATAAATTGTTTTAACCTTGTACACACTAGAATTGGACTTGGTACATCCTGGTAGTATAATCGAGTTTGATTGAAAGCAATTCACCGTAATTGTAGCATACTTGGAAAATTGAAGACAAGATCGTGACACATATTATACTTTTAAACAAAACAATGACTTCGCCGAAAATATGATTCATTTCACCAATTGTTCAAATGTCCACCTTTATTAATAAATTACTATGTACAAGCTATATTGAAAAATTAAAATTTATCATAATAATGAATCAAATACCGAAATGTAATCGAGAATTAATCGAGAGACGCTGTTTACAATAGAAAATGCTAAAATTCATGATTTTTTACACGATTTCTTGATAAAAATTAAGAAAAACTAATTTATATTATAAATTATATTTAATTTCAAAATTTGTTTCAATTTTTCAATGTCTTGTCGATCTCTTGTATAAGTTTCTTATATCATTTACAAAATATGTAATCTTAATCATTAACTCGTATGTCTATATGGTTTGCACGATTTCCATTATTCGCACGAATTTTGACATGTACAGTTCTACTACGAAACTAGTTTTATCTCTTGTTCACGTTCATTTTTTTTTAATTTTAATTTCTGACTAATTTATACACTTTTATTATTTATTTATTTTATTATCGTTATTTATACAATTTTATCTCTGCGATTATACGAATTGTGCGAATTACTACGTTGGAGGATATACAATTTGCCCTTCCATGCAGCTCTTCAACTGCATGGTCAGCAGTCGGAGGTATTGATAACTGGCTTCCTCGCCCACCAACCGCGGAAGGATATACACTTAAAAAACAAGCGAGAGTTTATAACATAATTGTCACTGAAGATAGCTAAAAAAGATAGCCTCTCGAAACGTTTGACATCTATTGCGTGAGAATAAAGTAGATTATGTGAAAATTAAAAATTACGTACTAATAACTGCGTCGATTTCCATCTGCCTTCCCTACTCCATATTTTTACATATTTTTTAATTTATTTATTTCTCTTTCCACGTATATTTATTTTATGTTGTATTTCTTAACTTACTAAATAATATTAAATAAAAGTATCTGTAAATTTGACGTATCATATTATGAAATTTAAATTATTTACATGACTCTATTTTCAATTGGCTCTGATTTTAATTTTTGATTTTTTAATTGTCTACAATTATATAAATATATAATAAATAAAATAAATAATCTTGTTATTACATTTAAAAAATTAAATAAAATCATATATTATCAATAATACTAAAGCAACAAATATATCATAGAAAATATTAAATTCTAAAACTTACTTGTATTTGTATAATGAGATAAAAATATTTTTTACTTTTCTGCCTTTAAAACATTAATTATGGTATTTAATTAAAGATATTAGGGACATAATTATATAAAAATTATTATTCCTTATTTTAAGTTTAATCTCAAAGCAAAATTATAAACAGAGATGAAATATATAATTGTTAAATTAATAATATTGACAATATGTGTATATTGATCGTATTCAGTAATTTTGACGTAATGTAACGAATGTATGCGACTACAAATTAACATTACATTCTATCTGTTTCAAGATATCGTCGGCATTTGCACAAAAGCTCATTTCATTGAAAGCAGCTTTATGTATTTTGTAGAATTTAATCCATCTACGGCGTGCACGTGACCGTTCATTTCAAAGCAGTATGCATTTCAAATGAAGTATGGGCAGTTACAAACTTTTCAACACTTTCGGACGTTTCATTTCTGTTTCAGTTCGACATTAGCACGCATTATCATATTTGTCGAAAATTTTGAATTCGTTTTCGCGACGGACGTGGGAAAAAAATTTCCAAGGAACTTTAACGCCCGAATATATTCGCGACAAAAACCGTCAACGTTCACGCTCTGTTCAACTCCAGAGACAACGTTCCATATTTCACGCTGACATCAAACCGAGTGTAAAACACACGTGCACGCGAAACGTATATGCATAACCGTCTGGCAACCTCATTACATCCATCGTACTCGACATATGAATACCTTTGTCTCGCTACAACCGCAAAGGTTCATTATAATTGGCTGAAATTTGCGAAGCTTCTCACGTCGCTATAATTACGCCTCCGGTTTATCCGTTTACTTCAACACGCCGCATGTGTAATATACATCACATATACAATATATAATACGTATATCGTACATACGATTTTTTTATTTACAATTTTTTTTTATTTACAGTGCATACTTTTATTACGTTATTTTTTCATTGCGTTATTATTACGTTACATAGAGAATGTTACATAATGATTGCGTTACGTAATGAATCCTGGGAGTAAAATCCTAAGAGGACTTGAGCAAATAATAAGTGTCATCTCTTAAATTAATTTAAATAGATAAATGATAAAATGGATTTAAGAAGATTCAAAAGGATCAAAAAGAGTTTATTGTTGCAAACTGGGAACTTGTGACAAGTAAAGATCTGGCGTTAAATTTCAGTTAAGGAAAATGTTACTCCAATTTTTGAATGAAATCTGCGATTGCTAGATTGTGATGGTAAGAGTCCGGAATACCCGATACGTACAAGCGTCTTCCAAGCGCTTCTACTCCACGCTCTGTGATGCGTGGGAGACGGATGAAGAGGATTATTCATGGCTACGTGACGCGCAGCCGGCGACGCCACGTCTCATCCGTCGCTCGACATTCTCGCGGACGGATAGCGGCCGTTTAAATGTATTTTCGCTAATTAATCTCGAGATTAATTCGCGTTCACGCTTCACGCCACGCCAGCAATCCAATTTAAATTGCGCGGGAAGCGGTCGGTGGGACGCGCATAAATTGCGTGCAACAAGATGACATGGAAATTACATCTAGGAGAGTTTCTTGCAACAAGACGCAGACGTTTCCTATCCCGCGAGAAGACGCTAAGGCGAATTGATGTATTTTGCGCGCAACGGCGCGACAATTGTACACGCAGGAGATGCGCGTCGTCCGAGATCCCAACTAGTCTTTAGTCCGATAGTTTCCGTCGCGTATCCTTTTGTCTGTGACAGAGACGAGTATACACAGTTCACGAATTTTATCTTGAAGAGGAAAAACTGAAAAGAAAATATGTGCATTTTTATAAGATATGTTACATTATATTATATATAATATGTATTTTTTAGTTAAGTCTCATTAACAACTGTTTTACTGTAGTTTTAATCTTTTCAATATTTTTCAAAAATGAAAATATTGAATTAAGTAGATTTTATTTAATTTTCTATCTGACTTTCTTTATTATAATATGATTATGTTTAGTTTAGTTTTAATTATTTTAATATTACATAGATTACTGTAATTATACATATAAATTCGAAATGGAGATTTAAAAGATATAATACATCATTTTTTATCTCAAACCGATATGAATCGGTTCTTCCTCTTCGTGCTTCTGTTCATTTCATTACGCTCAAAAGCATATGAAGATGTAATATTGCTAATGGATCAATTAATAACGAGACGTAAATGGAGAATCCGCTGAGTAATTAGAATGCATCCGACATTAATGCTTATTAAATCTTTATGAATTAAAATTCATATGAATTACGGCGTAATCTACCTTGCGTCAATTCGTTTTGATTGAACGTAACGTAAACAATGTTCCGTTGAAGCGCAGACCCTCTGTATACAAACTTTCCTTTCTATGAGCACCATTTGCATTTTAATTCCGTAATAATTATCCGTGGTAGCCTATAGCTTCCGCGTTGAATTTAAGTGATCCGGCTAGGGCGACTAGAAAACATTTCCATACGCCGAGCAAGAGAGAGAGAGAGAGAGAGAGAGATGCATCAAAAATTAATCTCAGTCGCGCTTTGTTACAGGTCTGGTCTCGCAAGCTGGATGCAGAACCGGTGCTTTTTGTAAATATGCTAATCACTAAAACTTTGTAGAAGTTAGATAGAGACAAAAGGAAGAAGGATTAGAGAGGAAACAGCACAGCTCGTACTCTCCATGTGTGCAAACAACTGATGAGAAGACGAAAGTACATCACGGCAGAAAAATATCATTTAAAAGCCAGTGCGTTCCGCACTACCGTTTTCAAAGTACCTTTGAGAATTATAAAACGTTGTTTGAAAATTTTATATTCACTTTGGTGTCTTTAAATACGATTTTGCGAGAGTAAATACTGCTTCCGCTATATTAAATCTCTAAATGCGGATTTCTCAAAAGTAACTACTAATCCCTTGCTTAATGTATTTTCGCTTCTTTAATGTAAACTTTATACATAAGCCGGATTAGACAGCAAAAGATTGAAAAATTACTTTTATTAAATTAAAGAAGAATTTAAAATTTGTCAATGATCTACGGGTGTAGATCTCCTCAAATAAATGTGAATTCAAACTGTGTTACACTGTTCGCAGGATTTAGGGCTTTGTATTTGTTTACACAATTGTCTATTTTACATGCTTCCTTATCTGCCTTTTCCAGCCGTTCTACTATTTTGAAATGCTTTAATACTGAATGATACCAAGCGCACATGAGTAGATTTCATATATACATGTATGTATATAATTTCTTTTCTTTTTGTAATAATACCGTTCTTGTATGAATATTTCTAGTTAAAAATAATATTTTTTTGTTAATTATAATAGAACATACTTTCATTAAATTGATTACATTACAAATATTACATATATAATTCATTAATTTTTTATTAATAAAACAAAATTTCAATTGTGACTAACATTTATATTCAAACTGGATAGATTGTTATTATTTTTATATTATAATGATATTAATTAAACATATAATTTTTATCAACTTATATTTAATAATAAATTTTTTGTTAAATTTGAAATTAAAAATTAAGCATTTTACAAATTAAATTACAGAATACCTAAAAAACAAAAAAATGTATTACTATTGTAAAGTATTCTTAAAACCATACAATTTTTATTTGA